TATATATATTGTATAAATAAATAAATAGTATAACTACTCTACAGATACAGGATTCTCCCTCGATATATATACTGGGGTAAAACTACAAAACTAGGATCATAAGGCAGGGAAAAAGCAAAAGAGGAAACGAATAGATGCAGATTAAGCACTAATCAATGCATGCACCAATTAGTAGCGCACTCGCTGCACAGACGTTTTACTGGCTGCCTAGCTAGCTAGCCGCCTGGCTAGCTAGCTGCCTGGCCAACGGGCCGTCCAGCTAGATGGCAGCCCAGCTAGCTAGCTAGCTGTCTAGCTATGTGCTAGCTGTGGCCAGCTAGCTAGCTGCCCCCCGATGACTTGCTGCCGCCAAGAAAGCTAACGGGACGGTCTACAGCACCTGTAGCTGGCTAACCCCCCTGGCGGCTAGCTGGCTAGCTATGACTAGCTAGCTAGCCCGCTAGAAGCACCTAGGCGGCAGCTTGAATGGAAATGAGCTCATAGACGAGGACCAAAAGTGGCAGCAGCATTAGAAGCTAAGAAATGCAACAACACAACATGCTGCAGAGCTGATACCTGTACACCCCTCAGCGACTGCAAAAGCAGCAGCTACAGCAGCAAGTGCAGAAGAAACTGCGGCAGATGGTTTGCCTTCATCGCATGCAGCCACCACCTATTTCGATCTCGTTCGATAGCAACAACGGCAGCAACAATAGCAGCAGCAGCAACAGCAGCAGCATTACCAGCTTTGCAAGTGTTGAAGTTCCAAAAGCCCCAAAGGGGTGCCAGCTTCTCTCTGCATGCAGAGGAGGCTGAAAACTATCTAAAAGCCTGCAGCAAATTGCAGGAGCAGCATACACAGCTGAAGCTGAAGCAGCAGACAAGAGCTGCAGCAGCAGCAAAAGCACAAAAGAAACCTTGTCACGAAGCAGCCGGAGCATGCAACAGTGAAGCAGCGGGAGCTAGTGCAACAGCAGGAGCATCAGCAAACCTTTGAGACCTCGTTGGAATTACGGCCGTCCGATCAGAGTCATCGCCAAGCAGACGCTCCGTATAGTTCGTCCTCAACGGGGCTCTTACACTGTAGCAGCAGCAACAGCAGCAAGGATCGGCAGGCGCAGCACATGTTGGGCCTGTTGTTGCAGTTCAAAACAGCAGCAACAACAAAAGAAAATAAAAGCAGCATCACCAGCAGCGTACTCGTCTTCTCCTGCGGCATAGGCAATTGAGGGGACGGCAGGCCTATCTGCTGCTGTTGCGGCTGATGATGCAAGTGGTGTCTCCGCAGCAGCAGCAGCAGCAAAGTGTTCCTCCGCTAGCTGCCTCTCTCTTTCTCTGTTGGCTGCTAACTCCATCTCCAACCGGTCCATCTCCTCCATGTGTAGCCGGCGAGCCAACTCCATATCCATCTGCAGCAGCAGCAGCAGCATGACCAGCAGCATGTGCAACATCGGCAGCGGCAATAACAGCAGCAACAGCAGCACAAAAATCAGTGGTTGCTCCCACTCGGCGAAAGCTGAAGGTCGCCATAGGCGTGTTACTATGAAGGCCCATGGGGACCCTCGCTCTGCAGCAGCAGCAGCAGCAGCAGCAGCACACACGCACCTGCTCTTCTCTCTGTCGCTGTAATTGCTCTGTTTCTGCTGCCTCCTTCATCAGCCGCTGGGCGTATCGCTGCTGATGCAATTGGCGGTACGCAGCGAGGTCTGCTGCTGCTGCTGCATCTGCTGCAGTGGCTGCTGTGTCAGGTGCTGTTGTAGCCGCTGCTACTTCCGCAGCGGGGGGTCCCGCCACAGATGAACTCTGCTGCAGCAGCATTGCTGCTGCTGATGCTTCTGGTGCTGCTTCCTCTGCCGCTGTTGTGTCAGGTGTTGCGGCAGCAGCCGCAGATTGGCCAGCAAAGCTGGCAACACTTTCTTGACCGTCGTTCATGGTGTACTAGGGAACGGCCTCTGCTGCAGCAGACTTGATGCTGCTGCTGCTGTTGCCGTTACTGCTGCTGCTGTTGCTGTTGCAGAGCTTGCTGCTGCGTTTCAAGACAGCCATCGACAGGGTCCTCTGACGGAGAGGCTGCAAAATTGAATGCTGCTCCAACAGGTTTCGCTGCTGCTGCTGCTGCTCCTTTTGGTAGGCTTGCTGCTGCTCTGTCCCTGTGTTGCAGCTATGGCTTAGGCCAGGCTGAGTATTCTGCAGCTGTTGCTGTCTGTCTTGTGCAGCGGTTGGTGTTACTGCGGCACCTGCTGCAACTGCTGTTGCAGGGGTCCACTGGTTAACTGCGATTCACGGCTGCCTCGTGTAGAGAGAAGATTACTGGCAGTTACACGACTATAACATTGAAACGCCAGCAGCAGCATCTACTGCTACTGCTGCTACTGCGGCGGCGGCGGCAGCGGTAGATGCTTGAGTACTTTAAGCCCGCGTAATAGCCTCGCTGCAGCAGCAGCCAATAAACGATGTGTCTTCAGTTGCTTAAAGCGAGAAATATACTCTTAGACAGGTGAATATGTCTGAGGCAGCAGCTGCTGCTGCTGCTTCTGCTGTCTCACCCTGTTGGGCAGCAGCAGCCGAGCAGCAGCAGCAGCAGCAGCAGTAGCAGCAGCAGCAGCAGCGCGCAGCACTGGCAGCAGCCACGAAGAACAACAGCTGTGCAGCAAATGAGTCTTACAACTAATTAATTAATTCTAAAAGCGCCTGAAAGAGGAAGGCGATGGGAATGCGGTACAGCAACATCAGCAACAGCAGCAACGGCAACACATGCAGCCCTGTCGTCAGCGATCGACTGCAGCACAAACAGCAGCAACGACGGCAGCAACGAACTAAAATGCCATACATCTGAAGGCTTACTGAGTAGAGCTGATAGCAGCAGCAGCAACACAAGCTGCTGAAGTGTAGATCTGGTCATTCCTGCTAAGGCAATTCTGCGCTGACGCAGCAGCTGTTCAGCAGCAACAACAGCAGCAACAACAGCAGCAGGAGAAGGGCCGCGGCATTGACTGCGGGATCACCACGACAAGTGTAGGTCGATCGGTAGGGCTCGCCAGCAGCACAACCGCAGCAGCAACAACAAAAACAATAGCAGCACGGCGGAAGGCAGCATCAGCAGCAGCAGCAGCAGCAGCTGCTGCTGCTGCAGCAGGAGTCAGCAGCAGTCAACAGCATGCATAGGGAGATTCGCAGGCTTGGGTAGCTAAGCCATCATTCTGAACGGGGCAGCAAGCGCAGATGCAGCATCAGCACCGGCAACACAACCAGCAAGAACAGCGGCAGCAGCAACAGCAACAACAGCAGCAGAATGTTTAGGGGACAGCGTGTCTTCAATGCCCTCATCCTTGAGGAGGGCGAGGAGTATTTGACGGACTGCGAGGCTTCGATTGCTGCCTCTCACCCTGTCTCCTTTCCTGTCTCCCATGTTTATGATGCTGTTGCTGCTGCTGCAGCAGCAGCAGCAGCACATTCAGATGCTGCTGCTGCTTACGCAGCAGACAGCAGGCACGTAAACCCCGTGCTGGCTGCTCTTATTGGCCTGCAGACACACCGGCACCCTTCTGCTCATCAGCAGCAGCTGCAGCAGCTCCAACAGCAGCAAGTTGAAGGTCGGCTGCGGCTGTGCAGCAAGAGTCTTATCTTAGACCCTCACAAGCCTGCAGCAGACATTCTTAAGTTGCTGCTGCGGCGCATTGTATTTATAGCGCAACTTCCCAGCAGCAGCAGAAGCAGCCGCAGTAGCAACAGCAACAGCAGCTGGGGGTGGTACAGTCAATCGGGTGTCACCGCACCTGCAGCAGCAGCGGGAGAGTTGAGGCTTCTGCTTGGTGTTGCAGACTTTATGCGTGTCTCTTTAACAGTTATTGACGGCAGAACTCGCTGCGTTTCCCCCTTTACACAGGAGGTTGCAGCAGCAGCAACAACACCAGCAACGGGGCCAGCAGCACCAGGAACAGCCCAGCCCCCCCCGTTTTCCCTACAGCAGCCGCAGCAGCAACGAGGCTCTGCAGACAGCACGAGAGTATTTTGCTTTGTCTTGACAATCAATGCTGCAGCAGCAGCTGCTGCTGCTGCTGCTCCATCGCCGGTGGGGCCCGGCAGCAGCAAATTGCTGTTGCTGCTACTTAACCTCTGGCGCGTCTCCGCAGGCAGCAGCCCCCTCGCTAGCCTGCCGCAGGGTCCTGTCTTAACAGACGTAGAGACACTTGAAGCAAGGCAACAGCAACATCAGGAACCTCAGCAACCCATAAGCCCTGAGGAGTATGCTGCTGCAGTGCAACGAGAGCTGCAACAGCACGCCCGCTTCAGCTTCTCTCAGCTGGACCACAGGGAGCAGCTGCTGCTCCCCACTAACACAGGTAGGCAGCGGCGGCGGCAGCAGTAGTATCAGCAGTAACAGCAGAAGCAGCAGCGAGTGGCTGTTTGCACAAACCCGATTATGTGGATGTTGCATGTGTTTCATAGGATTGGCGCATGCTTCCCATTATGCCACTCCTTCGGGTGTATGCGGAGCTCTGGCTTTATTCGTTTATGCGTTAACTATTTATGCCATTATTTATTTATTTTGATCGTGTATTTACTTGCTCCTTTGTTTATTTCTTTATTCATTTATTTCTTGCCTTTTTCCTTTTCTTGGTTCTTAATTTGCTACCCTCTTGCCTTTTTTTCCTTGCTTCTTCCCTTGCCGTTCCCCTTCTTTTCCTTTTTTTCTTTTTGTCTCCATGAACGTTTTTACTTTTGTTGTATTCCTCTTTCTGGTTTCTTCTTTATTTCTTTCCTGTCCTCACTCGTGCTGTTGCTGCTCCTTTTTTCTATATATACACGTATATACATACGTGTGTGTTTACAACATATATATGTATATAGCATGGATAGATGCGACATATAACACGTATTATGAATATATTATATATAATATATAATATATCCATATATGTCCTCGGAGTTCGTTTATGTATGTTACATCTCTTTTTTGTTTGTATGGTTGCATTACTGCAGGTTTTCGGGTGTCTCGACTGCGCCCATTGACAGCACAGCGGATGTTGTTGTTGCTGACGCCTTCACATTTATATTTAGAGTCCTCCCCTAACTTTACGAATAAACCCCCAAAGAAATACCCAATTGCCGCGTTGCTGCATGTATGCAGACGCGTGCATTGTCTACGCCCTAGCGGCTTAGAATTCATATTTGCTGCGTGCAGCAGCGGCACCGGCAGCAGTGGTGGCAGCAGCGGCAGCGGTAGTGCCAGAAACAACGCAAGCAGCAACATGAATTCAGCTGCGCCCTTCGCTGCTGCTGCTGCTGGTAGTGCAGCAGCAAGTACCCAGCATGGCCTGGGTGTCAGGAGACGCAGAGACCACAAAGTGCTGCTGCTACAGTTTGATGACCTCACCGAGAGAGAGAAAGTTGCATGCGCTCTGGAGCAACTCAAACCCCAGTCAGTATTGCTGCTGCTGTTGCTTCTCCCTGTACTGCACTTGTGTGCGTTTTCTGCGGGCAGCAGAAGGTCCTTCCATCGTCAATCTCGTTGCCGCTTCTGTTGCTGCTGCTGCTGCGTGTGTATGCATGCATGCAAGCATGTAGGGTTATGCTGTCGCTGCTTGCTCCTGCTGCCTGCTGTTCAGAGTGTTTATGCTGCAGGCGTCGGACGAGCTGCTGCGGTGCATGCAGACGAGGTGGCAAGAAGGTCGCCTGTCTTCCTTCCATTACCTGCAGTTTCTCAACAGCGCAGCAGGAAGAAGCAGCAGCAACTTCTCGGCCTACCCCGTCTTCCCTTGGGTCCTTCGGAGGTCTGCTGCTGCTGCTGTTGTTGTTGTTAGACGGCTGTTTTTGCTTTGTCTGATTGTAATCTGCTGCAGCTGAAGTGCTGCTTGTGCTGCCTCGTGTTGTTACAACAGATAGTACCTATTGGGTTGTTTGTGCTGCCGCTTATGCTGCTGCTGTGGCTGCTGCTGTCGTTGCTGCTGGCGCTGCTGCTCGCATTGCTTCGGCGCTCAGTTGGCGCTCCTTGCTGCCTTATCTCGTGATATATATTACTGGGTATATGCATTGCGACATTTAGGGCGCTTAGATCTCAAGATGCGCGGCTGCGAGTGCTGCTGCCGCCGCAGCGGTGGCTGTATCCGCTGCTGCTGCGGCGGCTGCATTAGTTGCTGCGGTTGATGCAGCTGTTTATTCTTCTGCTGTCGCTCGTTGTAGCAGAACAACAAAGCAAAAGCAGTAGCGGCGGCAGCAGCATCAGAAAGCTATGGGGTGCGTGTGTTGTTTGGAGTGTATGTACAGTTACGGAGAAGATGACACATCTAACCCTTTGTTGAGTCCTGCGGCTTTCCGTGACTTTAGCAAACCAATGGGGGCTTTAAACCCTCAGCGTTTAGAGGGGCTTTTAAAGAGGATGAAAGACATACAGGTAAAGGGGAGAGAGGGGCTGTGCATGAGAGGGATCTGGTCTGCCGACTCTTGTTGTCTTTGCTGCCGTTCAATGCATGCATACAGCCCCAGGCATGCATACAAACAGCCTCATGCATGCGTGCTTACTGCACCATGCATGCACGCGTGCAGCCCCATGCATGCATGCGCAGGTAGACGCCGGCGGCGGGACGATGCCGTCAAGCTGCGAAGACGGCATACCAGCGGCAGGACCAGCAGTAGGAGGTGGCACTGCAGGATCAGCAGCAGCAGCAGAAGCAGATTTAAACTACATATACGGCAGCCACTACAGCACACCTGCATATACAGTTCATTTTCTTGTGCGGCTTCTTCCTGAGTGTCTCCTTCGGCTACACTGCGGCCGCTTCGATTGTACACACCGCATCTTCCGCAGCATGCAGGGTGCATGGGCAGGTGCGCTCCGGCTGCTGCTGCTGCCAGGGCTGGTGCAGCTACAGCCAGTGCTGCTGCAGATGCTGATGCTAGTAATGATGTTACTATTGCCAGTACTGGTGCTGCTGCTACTCGAAATGTTTGTTGCCACTGCGGCTGCTGTTGCTGCGGATGGGCTGGAAACGAACTTATGATTCTGCTGATGCTGCTGTTGCTTTTGCTGCTGCTGTTGCTGCTGAGGTGTGGGGTGTGAAGCTTATCCGGTTTTCCGTTTGGGTGCTCGCCGAGAGATATCTCTTCTTTGGAGCAGCGAGTGGGGCTTGGCTTCGTGAAAACCGCATGCATACTTGCATGCAAGCATGCATGCGTCTGTTATGTGCATGTGTGTGCCTGTGTTGTGGGGCTGATAGGGGCGTACAGCGGCCAGTCTACATTTGTGGAGTTGCCCCCTGAGTTTTATTCTTTTGATGTATCTTTTCTTTGCAACCGCCTTGCAATTAGACTGACGGCAAAGCCAGCAGGCACTCCGTTGTTTGCTGCTGCGGGGGCGGAAGATCCAGCCGCAGTAGCAGCAGCAGCAGCAGCAAGCTGCACGGGAGCGCGAGCTGCAGCAGCAGCAGCAGCAGCCACCGCTGCAGCAACAGAAACTCTCGGCGACGTCGAGCTGCCAGGGTGGTGCGAAGGCGACCCTGCTTTGCTGCTGCTGTTGCATCGAGCTGCTCTCGAGAGCAGCAACTGTAGCAGTGCGCTGCACAGGTGGATCGACCTCATCTTCGGCTACAAGCAGACAGGGCAGGTGGGGTTCCGGCTAGGGTTTAGGATTTAGGGTTGCTTTTTGGTTTGCAAGAAGAACGTTTCGGCGTCGGCTCAAGCAGGAAAAAGGGCTTTTGTTGAACTGGAGTGTAGGGTTTATGGTTTAGGGTTTGTGTTTGCACCGCAGGAGGCTCGTGCTGCTAACAATGTGTTTCATCCTCTTACATATGTAGACGCTGTTGCTGCATCAGCAACAGGCAGCTGCTGCCCCACAGGCACCCAAGCGGATTCCTTCTCTCCTGGTCTTAGGCGGTTACTGCAGCAGCTGCCTCCTCTTGTTCGCGATGTGCAGCTGCAGGAGTTCGGTCAGACCCCTATTAAGCTGTTCTCCCAACCCCATCCGATGAGGTCCTGCTGCCGTTGCTGGTGCTGCTGCTGTTGCTGCTGGTGGTTGCTGTGTGCTGCAGCTGTGGCTGTTACTGCTTCTGTTGATGACGGTACCGGTGTTTACAGCGGCTGCAGTTGACGCTACTGCTGGCGTCCGTGTTGCTCATGTTGTCGTCGCTGTTGCTGCTGCACTGGCTGCTGCTGTTGTTGCTGCTGCTTCTGCAGGCTTTCGTCTCCACCGTTTGACCCGTCGGAGTGGGAACTGGCCTTTGGCCGCTCAGCTCCCAGGCATTTGCTGCAGCTGGACAGAAACCGCAGTGCTGCTGCATCTTCATCAACAGCAGCAGGGTACTCCATGTGGGCAGACACCCCGTGGTATCTCTACATACACCACCACCCCGAGCTGCTGCCGGGTCTGCTGACGCCGACTCCGTTGCCTCCATCAATCCTTCCCGGTCCGCCCTCATCAGCAGCAGAGGTTGCTGCTGCTGCTACTGCGCAGAAATCCAGGCACCAGCAGCCGGTGCGCTTAGGGGCGGCTGCTGAGAGGGTTCCTCTCAAGTGGAGGACACCCCCGAAACCTGAAAAGGAACAGCAGCAGCTGCTGCAACTGCTGCTGGAAGGAAATGTGCTTCCTCAGCAACAGCAGCAACAGCAGCAAGAAGACCGCCAGCAACAGCAAACTCGCACTGCTTCAGCTTGGAATGCAGCTGCAGCCAGCCGGCTGTGGGGCCGTCATCCCCGAAGTGTCTCCTCAGCTAACTCTCCATGGCGCCGGTTTTCTGCTTGGCCAAGCAGCAGCAGCAGCAGCAGCAGCAGGAGCGTAGCGGTAGTTAGTGCCCCCGTGCCTTCCGGTCAGCAGCAACAGCAGCAGCGGCAGCAACAGCAGCTGGCTGTGCGTTGCCGCTGGTTAGGACTATCGGGTGTCTCTTGCTGCAGGGGTTGGGTGGCGGTATTGGGGAGGGACGGGCGTCTTTGCTGTTTCGACGCCCTGGAGGGTCGATTGCTTCAGCAGCAACAGCAGCAACAGCAACAGCAGGCGTCATTGCTCGAAGCAGCAGCAGCAGCATGCCAGCCGATTTCCTGCTACTGCACGGCGATACACCGCAGAGTGGCAGACAGCGCTCTAAGCAGTGCAACCCACTTGGGTTCTTGCCGGCTGCTAGCTTTGGGGTGTACAGACGGCAGCATTTACCTGCAGCAGTTGCCGCAGCGAGACCTGGAGTCCACAACCATCGCCAGCAGCAGCAGCAGCAGCAGCAGCAGCAGTAGCAGCAGCAGGGGAATGGGCTCGTACCCCGTTTCTGCTGGAGGCCGGAGGGAGAAACAGCGAGTTGTTGGCCACTTGGACTCTGTCTTGAGTTTGTGTTACCAAGGCACTGAAAGCTTTCTCGTCTCAGGAGCAGCGGATGCGACTGTAAGGGTGTGGGGTGCAACTCCTGCTGCCTTGCTGCTGCAGCGGCTGTTTGACGAGCCTCTCTCGGAGGTCACTGCCACAGCAGCAAGCGGCTCCCTAGTCCTTGCAGGAACTGCTGCAGGGGATTTGCTGCTTTGGGACTTGCGGTGCTCCTCTCCCTTCATCTGGGGGGCCCCCCAAGGGGGACCCCACGAACCCAGGGGACCCATCAGGGCATGTGGCTTCGCCGAAGGCGGCAGAATTACAGCACTTCTGCATACACCGCAAGCTGCTGCTGCTCTGCGCAGGCAGGAGCAGCTTCAGCTGCAGCAAATTGGGGTCGAGAGGCCCGGCGGGGCGGAGTTGCAGAAAAGCGCGCCCCGCGGAGGCAACGCAGCAGCAGCAGAGGCACCACCGGCAGATCTAGCAGGTGCAACAGACGCAGCGTTTCCAATTCAGGTATGGGAACTTCGCGGCAGCAGCAGGATCCCCCCACGCGGCCATCCTGGGGCGTCTGTACAAGCCGGGTCCCCTCCAGGGGTTGTAACCTGTGGGGCCCTGGATGCCAGTGGGCTTGCACTTCTAGCCTTTATAGAGTCTCCTGCTGCCGCTGGTCCTGCTAGTGCTACTGCTGGGACCGTGTGCAGGGCAGGGCTGCGGCTAATGGACTGTTTGAAGAAGGAGGAGATTTGGTGGGCACCACTGCGTGCGGTCGGGGCCCCCCGTTACATTTCTGTATGGCCTGGGGCTGCTGCAGCGACTGAGGGGCTGTCTTTTGAGGGTGCTGGCGGTGGCAGCTGGGGCCCCACAGTCGTGGCTGTCGGGGAGGCGGCTGGAGCTGTTGAGGCTCTTTGGGTGTAGCGGCATGCAACATGCAGCAGGCAAGAAGCAGTCAGCAGCAGGGTGAACCCGATACTCTAAGGGGATATGCGGGAGGCGCTATATTTGTAAGAGCCGGTTTATGGATTATTGGCAGGCTCACATCTCATCTATGTTGAGCACAACCATAAGGAATATCTTTCTAACTAGTCAGTAGTTACATAGCTAGCTGTTGCACATCTGCCGAGCTAGCTTACTAGCTAGTGACGCAAGTTCTTGGCTGCTCAGCGGAATGGATGCCTGCTGTCGATTTTGCAATGCCCAATCGCTGTTTGACTATATTCCGATTCACTGAAGTCCTGAGCAATCGTCGAGGACATTCGTTGCAGCGTGAAACTGAAACCGTGCTCAGCTGTGCGTTTTGGCATCGTCTCTGCGATTTTTGCAACTCTGTCTACGGAGTGAGCACGAATCGTTACCGGGCCTTAGTAGACACACGGTGCACAGCCAAACTTTCCCAACAATTGCCTACAGCCTATCTGCACTGTTTCTACATACAGACAAGAAGACATATTAATGCATGTGTGCTGGGCTGTCTTGCAGCTTGAGTTGCAGCAATGCGCGCTGCAGCTCAAGGCATCCTCTACTGCAGATCCAGCAGCTTGAGCCGCGGAGCTCAGGGCGCCTGGAGACTGGGGGGGGGTTAAATGCATTGAAAGATCCATTATCCTAAGTTCTTTGGCAGCATTTCAACCCACACTAAACCTCGAATAGGATAAAAAGACCTGATTACCTGAGTACCACATGGGGAGTCCCACGGTGTACTCCACACGTGACCATCGAGACGAAAAAGCTGGAGGTCTTCGGGTAACGAGTGGAAATTGGTTAGCATGAAACCGATGGAGGATCAAAAACAGCGGACGAGTGCACCGCAACAACGTCTGAGGGGATGCACACATGCGATCTAAAAGACAATGAAAGAGTTGTAAAGGGCTCGACCAAACGTACTAAAAATTGGACACGCCAGTAACGGGTGTTAATGGAAAATTCCACTGTAGTGCTGGGGAGGTGGGGAGCGGCAACACAAGACTACTGTGGCCCGCCTCTGCAGTGGTCCAAACGGAGGGTGCCAATGGACCTAGTATTTCAGCGTTAAATCCCGTTTCACCCTGTTTGGTTCCTTTATTTTAAGTTTCGCATTTAATATCTTACTAACGTTCATCCTAGGTAGTTTGGCCTGTACTTTAATAATCGTACTACGGCCCCTGTTCACGAGTGTTCGCATCTCGCCTGTCGCTCGGCTATGGCTGCAACGCCTGGGGGGGTCGGTAGACGGCAAGTGCAGCTCTAGGCGATATCTTTCTGTCCCGTTGAATCTCTGGGCGGTTTTCTCCTGTACCTTTCGCCTCAAGGTTCTACGTCCCCAGTAAATTGTCAATCTAATCTGCGCCGAACACAATGAAAACCTTCAGTTCGGTGTTGCTGGCAGCCGCCGTTTTGGGCGCCGGCCTCGGTGTGAACGGCTTGACAAGCGGGGATCCCAAAGGGTCTTCATGTGGGTTCAAGCACCAGCAAAGCAAACGAATTTTGTTTTAGGTGGAATGAAACTTATTTCAATGGGTCTTGATGGGTGTGTGGTCGTTTTCTTCTGTGCAGCGCCCGCCGAATGCCTTGAAGATTTCAACGCAGCTAGGAAACGAGCAGGCCTCAAGCCCTTCACTGCAGAGCAGAGCCTGGATAAGAAAATGCCAACAAGCGACGATGGTTACATCAATTCTATGTGCCAGAAAATAACGGGCGTAAGTTGCCTAGGTTGCGCCCGCGTCTGCTTATCGCCTTAGTGGTCTGATCCTCTCCCTCTGTGGATTTGTCTTCGCCGCTTGGGGCGCGATAAATAATTTTTGTCGTTTTATTCTCTTGTTACTTGCTCAGGAGGAAACCAGAGTGGTGGTGAAAAGTACTGAGCGCACCGGCACCTACGCTTTCGCGCCGGCGACGGACTCGGAAGACGGCTGCTCTGCTGCCGTCTCCTTTTGGAAAGAAGTCCACACCAACTTTCAGGAACCCCCACCCGTGTACAATCAAAGCGAAGAAGGGGTGTATGGGGACAGCCGGGTCCGCTCCTTCGTAGCATTGTACAGCACGGCCGAAAATGCCACAATCGACTGCGCTTATATCACTTGTCCTGTTGTCACCAAAACCACCACGCCAATCCCCTCCAGTACAGCAACCACAACGACGTCGACCACTGTCAGTGCAGCTCCTACTACACCACAGAGTCCCCAAACTTACAACTGGAATTTCGACGACGAGGAACTTGCAAAGCAACGCGAGAACGGCAGCGGAGCTTCAGTGCGACGTCTCTCAGATGCCGTTGAAACCGTTACAAGCCTCGTTTGTCTCACCAATCCTGCAGCTCTTGTAGACCAAAAGATGCCCTTCTCGTAGGTTTTTCAGAAGATGGCTTCTTGCTTTATTCCTCTTCTTCCTGTAGTAGTTGCCTTTATATACGTTGTTTCATGGCTCTTGTTTTATCGCTTTTTTATACTTTATTCCCATTTGAGTCTTACAGTGGGCGTTTCCTGGTGGAGCGTCATGCATGTTACCATGATGGCTGCTTCACATGTCGGTGTGTAGTTGTGTTTGTGGTGTTGGCACCGCTCCTCTTCCGTTCATTTAAAGCCTTAGAAAAGAATTGCTGAACATTGGATTGCCGTTTCTGTCCCTTGAGTGTGTCAGTATTCGGTACCTGCCATATTGCTCTTGATCTCTTGCCTCTTATTACCCGCGCCCGAGTATGTTCCCTTCGACCCTCCGTTACACGCATTCGTGCGTTTTGAATACGTGCCTAATCTTTTTTATTGCTTTCACACTTCTTGTAAGCTTGGTCCGGCTGCATTTGGTGGCTGTGATGTAGAAGGTGTCTTGGGAGTCGTAATTTTGCCATTTTGCCATGCCTTCGGTGGTTGTGCACAGAGAGGACGTTTGGACCAGCATAAAGGAGAGCATAAAAAATTCCGCCTCTGCCTCGGTGCAATCTGGTCTTCTTACTGCAGCTTTGTTGGTGCTTACTTCTTTCATTATCCTCTAGGCATCGTCCAGTAGCCTGAACTCCTGGTGTCTGTAGGCCTTTACAACCAGGGGCAAGGTAGGGAAGTCGCAGCTTCTTCAGTGTGTACGAAGCAAGCACAGAGAAGCTCCTTTGATCCGCTAAAGCTGGGCTCTGCAGAGGGGCAAAAAAGGAGACAAAATGTCTCTGGGCGACCTGCAATTGGCCTGCAGTCACCCGCCACTCTGCTTTGCCGTCCTATCCTCAATGTTCCGAAATGTTTCAAATGCAAGCCCTTGAATCTGCGATTCAGTTTCCCTGTTGGAAACGAAGGCATACAATGGTACAATAGACAGACAAAAACACAGAACAGGTTTTTTGGAGGGATTGGGCAGAACACCTCCTGCTCCGATGGGGTTTGTCCGCTTTCCTGCGCTTCGCTTGCAAAGGAAATAGCTGATCCCTTTAAAAACAGAATAAAGCTAGGATGGCACTGTGCATCAGAAGCACAATAGTACGCCTAGCGCTTGAGCAAGGATCCGCTGACAGTCCCGTTTGCACGTGTCGAACTGCCTTCGTTTCAAGCACTTGAGCACTTGCGCTAGAAACGGTGTCGGCTATAGGAAATGAGCCGCTCAAGGGGAGCGGGAAAACGTCTGTGGCCAAGCGACAGCTTGCGAGCTTGAGATGTACTTTGTCTCCTTTTATCGCCTTTGGCCGCTCTACACATCCCAAGGCACACTTGGGGTAGAAAGCGCTAGTTGCTTGTTCTCGCCCTTGTCTTTGCATGCAACGAGGAAGCTGAGGTCCCCTTGGAAAAGCCCAAGGGACTGCTTGGGAATGGCTACCCTGCAGTGCAGAGCTTCAGGGAGGCCGAAACTGGAGGATAATGGCGCACGAGCAACGGTGCGACTTCATCTGTACAAACACGTCGGAGTGTCTTCCCTTCGGACAACACCTATAGCATGATTAACGACGTGAAAAGTAGAAAGAGGGACGAAAAGAAAATGGATGGCAGCGAACTAGACGCAAAGTTTGCGAATGCGCGCTTAATGTTCCTCCATTCACATTCTCTGCTCACACACCCCAACAACAACCGCAAAGAGACGCCGGCGAACAGCTTGTCAAGGCTAGTGAATAAGGCAGAAAAAACTGCCTAGATGGAACGCAAGATAAAAAGACAGTCGATGAGCATGACGCAAACTGGCAGGCGAACCAAATCATTCAAAGCAAAGGATGCCGGAAAAGGCTGGCTGATGCACAAAAGCATCACGAAACGCACACCAATCAGAGCTGAAAGAGGGCAAACCGAACACATGTAATTTGTCTTTCTTGACATCCTAAATACTTGTTTTCGACCGGTGTTCTCGTTGCGAACACGTTTAAAAAATCGAGAACACCGGTCGAAAACAAATATTTAGGATATCAAGGAAGACAAATTAGGTGAGAAAAGGTGAATCTCACGAGAAGGGCCTTCTTCCTGCGGCAAGCGCCTTTGGACTTGTCATACAAACAAGTGCCCGGATTTCCTCTGTCGTTGCTTCGAGGTGGCTGGTAACAGTAACTTTTGGTTCTTCTGAAGTTGGACCTTCCGAAACTTTGGGTGTTTCCTCCTTCTGATTTTTCTCACTGCCTTTCCCTTCGTGTTCTTTCGTAAGTGAGGATTCACTGCCTCCTTTACCATTCTGATGGGTAGTTGCACCGTTTGCGATGGGACAGATAAAGTAGGCACAGTCGATAGATGCGCCCTTCCTGGGATTGAATAGAGCCACGAAAGACCTGTTGCGGGCATTGGCATACGACCCAGCGTTGTCATTGGTGTAAACGGGGGGAAGCATACCAAAGTTCCCGAGGGATTTGCTCCAGTGAGAAAGAGCGGCAGAGCAATCACCAGTTTCACCGCTCTGCAGTGCGTGAGCATAGGTGCCTTCCTGTTTGGAGCTAAGGTTGGATTTTTTGGAGCTGGCCTCCTGATAAAGTTGAAGAAAACAAAATAGCAGCAAACTACGGAACCATTGAATCATCAACACGCCGGGACGGCACTATGACACAGGGAAAAGACCACGCCATACGCGCAAGAAAACTTCTCCTTACCTCCTCCAGAGCTTTACAAACTTCCTTTACATAAGTTGGGTTGTCAATGGGGAGCTTGTGCATCCCAGCCTCCCCTGTAGTAAAGGGATCGAACTCCGCGCGGGATCGTGCCTCGTTGAAAACACCGAGGCAGTTGACGGGAGCTGCAAGCATTCAAACCCACAATAATAACCAAAATAACTTAATTATGAAATGATTAAAACCTGTGGATGCCCTTTGCCGAGCTTCGAAACACGTACTTGCAGTGCTTCCCGCGGTATTTGTGTCCAATGCCGTGCTGCGTGCAGCGCGCAGCACGACCAATGTGAGAAAAACAGGTGGAGAAAGTCCCATCTTGATCATGGCAAAAACCATAACAGGCCCCCAAAAACTTTAAGAGTAGCTGTCATCTGAAAGTGCCGATTCCTGGGTCCTCAGTGAGGGAACCTCACTACACAGCACCCAGTAGGTTAGCAGGACACGGCTCAAGGGAGGGCCAAGGCCACCAGTGGCAAGAGGACGTTTGTTGTGGTAACGCAATTATGCTCGTTTTTAGTCTTTAGTGTACTTCACTGAAACTAAAGGCTAGTGATTCCAGATGTTTCATCCGAAGTGTTGCACAGAAACGCTAGCACAGTTACACCAAAAGAGCACCGAGTGACCAAACACTGACCGAGGATGCGGTAGACAAATTAGACTATCATCTAATTTCTAATGCGTGAAGACGATTGTGTTTTTAACATTTTAACAGGAAGGCAATGCGGGGATATTAATTCCCGAGTATGCAGAATTTTTTTCAAGCGTCTGCCGTTTGTGGTTCTTGCATTTCTGCATTTCTGCGGCACTTGCACCGACTAGAGCGCGCCTGTTCAGGCGTCAACGCTGAATGCGCATTTACACGTCCGGTTCTCTCGCTTCTCAATTTTGTACCAGTTCATGTGTAATTGAAAGACTTTTGAATCCACTAAACTAATTATCGATCCCTCAATCACCAAATAGGGCCGTTGGCCGTGGTCGGGCAATAGTGTCAAATGCTCTACTAAAAAGAAACTAACATCCATATTCGTCCCCGCTTCTCCTAGGTATCGAGCTGCGCTTCCGAAATTGGAATCATGGTGCAACGAGAGCCCTCCGCTCTATTCGAAAACTGAACGAGTTTCAACGGGGCCGAAGGAGTAAGGTTGAGAGTTCTTCAATAACAGCTTGCCTCCCTCCCCAGTCTCCAGGCTTCCTAGGTGCAGCAGCACAAACGCCCGCGGCTTCAGGAGGGAAAGTGGCCTGCAATTAGCTGCAACTAACTGTTGCAAGCCACATGGAAGAGCAAGCCAACCTTCTTGGGTGCAAACACAACCACTGCAAGCAGTCGTTAAATACTTCTGCTTGCGTGGCCTTACCGCCAATGCTACAGTGTTAGCTTGCATGGACCAGAGCAGCTGAAGTTGCCTGACGTACAAAAGTCACCAGAGAAAAGTAAGCAGCAAGACAAACAGTACGCCGGCGAAAAAACCCAACAGATTCGCGGCATCGGCTCCTGCCCGTGTCGCAAAGGCTGAACAGCAAGAATCTTTAGGCGCAAAAAAAACAGCAAAGTCACAAAAAAGCAAAGGCACAGTTCTTGCAACTTGGCCCGAAGAGCCAGTTATTCACTTTAAATGTTTGCATTCCCTGCTCATCAAATCGAGGATCCTGCTGGCCTAAGGGCCCCTAGGGCTACCCCGTGAATCTCCGCCTGCAGGAACAACTCCATAGTCATGTACATAGACTCCAGAAACGTCGTCCCATTTAGCTTTGGCGAGCGGCTGCAGGAAGGAAATTGCTACGAAGCAACAAGTCTTCCACTCGGCAGGCATCTAGAAGGCGCTGGGTGTTGCTCTTCAAACCTTGAGTGATCAGTTCTCCACGGTTCCCACTTGAGACTCCTGAAGCTTAGAGGTCCGCAGGGAGAAAAGAAGAGGAGCTGCTTGAGAAAAAGAATTTCCCCATCATCTGGGCGCTTTCCTGTTTTGTAGATGGAGATTGCTGCTAACATTCGATTGGCGAGGTTGATGTTGATCCTGCCACTGCATTTGGTGCGAATTCCTGGTTCGTTGTACCGGTAGTCTGCATCGAAGCATTCAGCGAAGGCCTCCCACCACATGAAAGAGAGCGCTGGAACGCCCAGGACGTGTATTGCAGACACGATTGCATCTAAAACCAGAAACTGCCTGCCTATGCTAGCCACGCCTTGCAAAGGTCGGCGCAGCCGTTTGGCTGCCCGCGCCCGAGCGGCCGACGCAACTGCAAGCTCTTGGACGTTTTCCACAAGAACCGTAACTTCCGACTGATTCAGTGACTGCTTCGCGAACAGATAGCGAAAAGCAAGCAAGAGTTCATGCACTGACGAGCCGTTGCCCGCCTCGAAATTCGAAGCTGACAATACAATGGGCGGCGGCACCACCCCTTCCTGCAAAATAGGCAACCTGACATACGGGTGCATGCAGATCAAACCGGCCCGCGGGACAGCAGCAGTCGTTGATGGTGGTGCTGCTGTTGCAACAACCTCGTCAGATGCAGCACCCGCTGCTGCTGGAGCAGCGGCCTCGTCTGGAACGCTCGATGATGCTGTTGGAAAACCCTGTCCTGAAAGCCATGTTTCCGTTGTTCCAGAGTAAACTTGGCATGCAGGTCGTGAGAATTCTGGAGGCTGCCCTTGAGAGGAAGATTCATGGCTGTCTATTGAACTCTCAGGCAAACTGCCTATGACAGGAAGCGCATCCAGCCAGGATTCAGGATCTAGCTCCGGGTAAGTCCCAGATGAAAGCTCTGTGCTGCCTTCTTCATCTGAAGCACGCCATGCATCAGCCTGTGGCAGCAACGTTGCAACCTGATGAGGCAAACCAACCGAATTTGAGGCAACAACAGGAGGTTGGGTACCCGCAAAAGCCTGGAGGGCTGCTGA